GCTCTTCAGAGACACTTTAGTGAGGCGTCTGACATCGCACAGAGGGCTTAGCAAGCAAATGGCAGATGGCACGCCATGCTACATGCACAGGTGACTTTCATATCCATCCAAAACAACTTTAACCCCTTCATGCATTACGCAACCTGCTTTGATGCAGGCACTGGGATGGAAAAGTGGCGCAACGATTACCGGCACTTCGCTATTAACCCGGCAACCTCAGTTCAATTCCTGGCCAGGGTGAACCACATTTTGTGTTCTCTATTTACCAACCTACGCTGACCAGCGTGCTGAAGTTATGGTCAAGCAAACCTAAATGACCGCCACGGAATCGGAAGTCCTACATACTGCAGCCAAATCAACAAAGAGCATTAAATACTTATTAATTACGATTGCTTTTTATCAGGAACGATACACGTTACACATGCCTGTAACTATGAAATTCCTAAACGGACCTAACCCTCCATAATGTGCCCGCAGTGGGTCACCTACGGTGGCTGCTCCAGCCACCGCACTGCCCGACTGTCAAGTCACCGAGGCTGTAATGTTTTAAGAGGGCGCCGAGCCCCAAGGCTTGGGACAGAGCGATAGTCTCTGCAATTTGTCCACATTGTAACCCGGTCGATGGTTGCCCATTCCTATTTATGTAAAGGGGAACCATCAATTAAATGGAGTTTCCCCAATGTCGGAATTATTCACCAAAATGTTGTAGCAACCAAAGAAAGCACCCATGGCTGTTTTATTATTCCTCAAGCAAACCAGCTTGCACTTGATATTCCCAGAATTTATGCCAAATCCACATTTCACGAATGCATTTGTCAAAATTTATATTACCTTATTATTCAACATTTGATGTCGGGGGACACCTATTTAAATATAGAACATGCGTATTCGTGCAAAGACGCTTTGAATTGAAAGGATGATTAAAATTATCACGATAATATCTCCAAGTTGACTTCCTACACAGTGTGCTGACATCAAGTGTGGCCAAAAGCTTCATTTATTGAAGGATTCATAGTTGTGTTGGGAGTTGAAATAATAATTGTTCCCACCATCTGCCGTTGGAAGTCGGTAAAGGCCTGTATTGACGAGCAGGTCAGGGCTAAAGTGGGGTTACGTTCAGAGCCCACACCGACACTCGGAAATCCTCTGGGTAATACTGCCGAGGAAAGCTACGACGAACGCAACAAATCAGGTTGCCGTTGCCGTACTCATTGTGCTCAATTTGTTTGTTTACAAATTATAATCAAGGTTTCTTATATTAAATTTGAGTTGTCACAGCTTTGCTCCAGAGGGAACGCACTCTATTCAGCATCGAGCCTTCCAGCCCTGGCAAGCATTAAGGAAATAATTTATTCGAGGCTAATTCCTAAAACGTGGCCAGGAAGTTAAGGCCCAATGCCTTCCTCTTGCAAACAATTCTGCAGGGTAAGTGTGCATCCTCGTAAAGTGGAAGACAGCAGGCTTATTAGATAACAATTCCACAGAGCGTACGGTGTCAGGTAAGTCTGAGGTTTCAATGACAGTGGCCAGCTGTTAACCCGGAGCTAAGCGCATTGATCACATGGCCACGCAAGCGGTTCCCCAGCGAGGATTTGAGACAAGACTGCCGGGCGTGGCGCCCGAGGCGTGTTTGTGACTGCGCAGCGTACATACCCCCCCCCCGCACCTCCGATTAGCATGGTTGGCTACGTACGGTACAAACGAAGTTCAACGTACGTATGCGTGTGCGCACACTCGCAGTTGCCCACGTATTCGAGAGCGGTTCCACACACTCACCATGGAGCACCGCCAGCAGCCTGTGCCATACTCCACACACTGTTATGCCAAAGCCTGGTATTAAATTGGGAATGGCCAAGGCTCCGACGGCTAAAGCGAATGACGGGAACTAGCGAGACAAAGCGACGAAGATTGTCAAACGATAAAGAAACAGGCATGGGCTGGGGAACAGAATACTTAAGGAATAACGTCGAGAGCATTTCGAATTTATCGAGCATCTGTTTTTGCATGTGGTTACTGAACCAAAAATGCCAATGCTTAACATTTTATTTATTTCGCAAGTATTGTTGTCAACCGATGTCGCGGGTGCGAGCGGTATGTATTGTTTAGTGTTCTGTCATGGTCAAATTAATGCATCACCCAGAGCCCCTCCACCAATCGCCAAATGAGGGCAAGAAAACATAGTATGGACAATTTTCTTTCTTCCAGCACAGGAGTTAAAATTTGCAGATCGGTAGTTTTTCTTACACAAAATGTTATTTATTTTGGTAAACAGGGTAAGAGAAAAACTGCAACACAAAAACATCATCTTGTTATTTTGAGATGATTTACAACGCCCAAACTGTGTGGATATCTGTGTTGATAAATAGATAATCAAATTGCACTTTGAGTTTGTTTATCGGCTTGGGAGAAAAGGTTCTGTTAAGCATTATGCCACCGAAAATGCTTCTGGTAAACATTAAGGTTATGGTAAGCATTATTCCGCGCAACATGCTTCGGGCACTTTCTTTAGCTTCGCCACGACGTGTTCAGACACAATATTTGGCATCTGAATTATTCAAAGGCAAGCGTGCATATTCCAAACAGGGCAAGCACTCACACTTAGTACAATTTATGACAACCACCTTGAGTGTCTTCAAGGTCTGGACAATTCCAAATTAAACGATCGTACCTGGCGGCAGCGAGGTTTAAATCCGCAGTGCCGTGGTCGTCCCTAACTCAAGTGTTGTCAAGTTGCGCAACTGCGTAGGTGGCAAAAGCCACCAGTGTGCCTGCTATATCCAAGTGCCGGTCGACGTATGGTTACGGATTTATCCAAACAGATTTTGATTAATAAAACAAGGCTTCACCCCCTTCCTCGCGTAAATACGGGTGTTGAGATGTTCAAACACAAAATAGACACCAATTAGAAGGCATGAAGCCTGTGAAACCGCACACACTTTTGCTAGAAAATGCAAACATATGCTTTTATAATGTATGCATTCTCCTGGAAACAAATTGGCCTGCACCAGAAACAAACATCTTTATGGCATCGTCTCACCAGTGCTAATCCAAGGGTGGCAAAAGGCAAGCAGTACAAGGGCAATGCCAACACCAAAGCATTAATAGCTTGGGAGGATTTATTGTTTTTGTGGGACAAGTAGCAGAGGCGGCCCCACAAACACTCTATCCCCATCTTCCACGGGCCAGCTTCAGAAGCACGTTTTCATTTGGGTACAAGCCTTGCAAGTGCGGCTGAAGAGACGAGGAGTATTCTATTGACTCCACATCAATGGCTTCGTGGGACAAAGCCATATGGTTATCCATTGCTCAATGATGGCTCTGTTGCGACTGTGGCCCAAACAATCCTCCAGAGAATAACAACACGACGGACAACGAGAGACTTCCACCGTGCGACGATTACGACATGCGTTGCACCTGCGACCAACTCGCACCTGGCATCTCTACTCGCACGCCCTGAGCAACCCAACTTGCCCCGTTTGGGTGCATTTCACAAGCGATTAAATATTAACCCAAGCCATGCCATTGCAGGACTAATGGAAAGTAGCATTCGTCACACAAATTGAGGGGTAGAAACAAAAAAACATAACACAAAAATGTATGTCAGGTGCTCACCCTGTCCGGAACAGGTTGCGCATGTTTGAGTTGTAATTGCACGAAGGCCTGGGAGTCTGATCAGCGTAGACCCAACACAGACTGCTGGCTCTCAACAGCGAAACACGAGGCAGATCTATAGCTGCTGTTAAAACCAGCAGGACCAAAACCCCCAGCACTTGTAATCGACCGTTTGTTTCTCTTCAATAAAGACAGAAACTAAACACAGCATGGAATCATATGAACTTGGCGGTTAAACAAGACGTCGTTGAATGTAGAAAACACTGAGCTGTGGTGGCTACATTTTAAGTGGAGCTGCACCATTTGCGTTCATTACATTTCAATTCCAACTCCGATTTTGAGGAATCCATTGGCTCAAATTGAAAGCCCTTTGCACACAATCGTGCTTTGAGCAGAAACACAGTTTCGGTTGATAAACATTTTTTTTCTAACAAACGTATTTGACGGAGATTTATCAGCGTCTACCCACGTGTGTTTGGGGTATCTCCTTAAGAGTGTCTTTGCGCACACAGTGAAGAGTTCAGAGCTCCGACCTTGCGAAGGTACACCATGAAATACACCGACTTGAAAATGTTGCAGATGGCTTTGGGTAAAAGTGCACATTTCAGATTGATGTAAGTTAATATGTAAGCATACTTACTGCCTTAAGGAAGATCCAAGCCAAAGACAAATACCTATAATCTGGTAGACATGTACCCAGGATGTGTCCCAGGCTTGTCTGAAACAGGATTTAAAGCGTCTGTCATAGCAATCTAGTGATGTCAATGCGCCGGCTCTGTATTAAATTTCATGGGGGAATGATGTCACAGCAAGGCCACTGAGGTGTTGCGACTGTTTCTTTAAAGTATTTTTTGTTCACTTATGAAGCTTCAAACTCATGTTCAGGCAGCGTGAGGAAACGCAGAACCATCTTTACGAGATATTTACTTTTGGGGTTGTGTCTACGCCTAAGGTCACAAGGGGTGGGCACTCCAAAACAAGGTACGACTGCAACGCCGCACCCCACGCTTTTCTTCCTGGAAACGCCCCCATTACTCAGCCCAGCATCACCTTGCAAGGGCACAATGTCTCGCACCGTGTGCCTGTCGGTAAGATAACACCGCCACAACCACATGCAGCAGCAGCAACTTCAAAGCAAGCGCCAAGCGATACGGGAGACGCGGGCCTCGCAAAACATTTAGAGACGTGACTTCTGCCATGTCCGTCGCCAAGTTTAAACACGTGTGTGAATACCTCAAATACCTGAATATATATGTTTTAAATCGATTCCCCTTCAACCTCCACGCGAACACCGACAAACGTCGCTCAGCTCAAAAACCAACGGGCGGTGCCATGAACGGTGCACGCGCACCCCCAGATTACGCGCAAGCGAGGCTGGTGCTGCTCACCTTGACAGCCTGCGGCGTGGCGGTGGTGTGCACGGTGCTGGGCTTCACGCCGTTGGCCTTAGGCCGCTTGTAGAGGGCGAAGCGGCTCTTCCTGCGTCCGCGGTCGCCGTTGGGAAGAGAGCCGTTGTACCTGCAGACGCAGAGACGCAAACGACATTCGCCGCACTGCCTTCTTTCCCGTATCGTCTGAGCAACGGCTCTGCTGCGGTCAGCGGTGCTAAATTTTGAGCAAAGTAAGCAGTGTGAACGTCAAGACAGAATCATAATGCACTCGCAAGCGTGGCCTTTCGTCAATATACTTTGCGTCAACTCCCACGTGCGAAACACTCATGAAGCAAGGAATTGGTCTAACATCGCAATGCAGGTCCCTTCTGAAAAAGGCCACTGAGACTCGCTGATCTTTATTGGATAACAGATTACATTGTTCTCATAGAGGCTCTGTATGTCAAAAAGTCAACTTAAGGTGTAATAACGTGATAACGTATGGAACTGAAAACACTAAACCTTGTAGTAAGTTGACTTACCTAATCTCGGAAAATGCTACGGGTTCTACAGGGAGATGTGTCCGAGTGAATGGAGATGCCTATACTATCTGTATGCGTGTTGTTTTTGCCAAGGTGTCAAACCACCTACACGTTTGGCACCTTGCCATTTTCACGTTATGCTCATTGAAAATGTACAACGAGAATCATCGCATGGGGAGCGGCGATGCAGTGGTTAGCTCACCGCACTAAGAATTCGGTGACCTAAAATCGACTCCTGGAACACAATCAACATGAGTGGTGAAGTAATATCTGAACCAGTCTTGGGCCCTCTGTTCAGCCCCCTTCACCAACTCGCACTGAACAGCATGGGGATCACATGGTCAAGCAACCCCTTTGCCCAACATGGCATCGCAAGGCCTCCATCTAGTAGTCGATTTATTAACAGCTAATACAATTATCATCATCATTATTAAACGCACAGGTTTCCACTATTTATGACAGTACCACTTTATGTTCCGACGATTACTTAGAATAACTTTTTTGAAAGAATAAATTAGAGGGGAGAAAATCGTGCGTCTCATTGCAAATATTATTTTTCCAAGGGCACTGAATTGACATGCAATATGGCTGGAAGCTTCTCAGCACCAATCCAAAAATAGACTTTACTCTGCCAGTGTTTAATGCCTACAGTCCAGAGATTAAAAAAACCCATTTGCGTTTCAGGATTGCATAAGCTGCCTCGGATAATTACTAATTAGAAACACTGAAGAGATAAGTTGTTTGGAGAATTAAGAACATTCTTTATTCAGTTCTCCATTGAAAAAGTTCTGTTTACAGAGCAACGTCGAGTTGTAAATATCCGAACACGATAAAAATGTAGCGATTTATGTAAAAAAGTTATATTACTCATTTATTCTTTAAGCAACGTTAATAACACAAATCTGCCAGGAGACACAACCCAGATATTAAAACACAATCCGTAACTTTACAAATACGCAAATGTTTTCCATGGGCGACTGGCAACAAACACACACGTCGAGCACTTTCTTAACAGCGGCACACGTGGCAAAGAGGCTTGACGATTGTTGACGTTCCCGTTTGGCAAAAAACTACACGGCAGGGGCGACGTTTGTTGCGCAGTCCAGGTCGCTTGCGCTCCCGCTCGGGAAAAAACACTGCCCTCTGTGAGCGGCTTTGAAAGGAAGCCCCGCCCCCCCCCCCCCCGTCATTGCGTGTGCTTCGCCAGCAGCAAAGCTGGGCGGTTCTCTTCCATCCCTGGGAGTACGTTACACAAACAGAACAACTTTAAATCGAATTTAAAAAAACACGCGCGCTGGCATGTCAATGTCTCAGCGGTTCGACTCTCATCCGCACTTAAAGAGTATTGACAGGATATACGTCCGCGTTCATTCAAAGGAACGATGGCACATCATCTCCCTATCGGTTCGCTGTTTAGCGCTGTCAATAAATCCGGCTCTGCCAGTTGGTGACCGTGCCTCTCCCAAAGTAAGTGCTTGCAAACAGCACTTGACCCAACGATGTAAAAATAAGGTTGTGTTTGTTTTAACAATGAAATCACTCTTAAAAGGCAGCTTAAAGGTAGCTTGGTTTTCCACAATTTGACACGTAGGCTTTCGCAACCAATATTACATTCATAATAAAATGGGTTTTTTTGGGGGTCACATCGCGTTTTTTTTACACAATTTTAACACGTTCGTACATTTGACCAATTGTATTTGAGGAGTTGGCAGCGAATGGGAATGCCCGGAGGAAATCCATGTTTAATAATAAAGAGCACTGAGGAGTCCACAAGGAGACGTTCACACACACGGCTATTTTCTGTATTGCCACATTCAGGCCACCTCTGTGCCCACGGAGATGGGTATGTTGACAAAACGTTGTGACCCACCGACACCTGCTTACACAGTGCCACATTACAGCCAGGTGCCACCACACGCCCAAAACAAACACTATACCTATGACGCATACTATCATTATCTAATTAAAAGGAAATGCAGAAAATTATGAGATGAGGGGATGGGAATGAAGGGGATGGGAATGAAGGGGATGGTAATGCGACTGAGATACAGTGCGGGTGTGGGTGTGTGTGTGTGTGTAAGCCGAGCGTTAGTGCTGCGCTACGAACCCGGCGACCCGAGTTCGATTCCCGACCAATAAGAGTGGAGAATATTTGTATCGGTCCTGGGCCTCCCCTAGGTCGACTCGTCCTTAAATGAGTACCTGGTGCGATGTGTAAACATCAGCGCTGGGGAGACAAAGGTGGCCGGGCGTGGTGTTGGCCAGCCACGCCCTCGCGTGCTGTGCCGGCCCTCGCTAACAGCACTTGCCCCAACTGTCTGTTAAGGCTATCACGGGGGGGGGGGGATCTTTGTCTGCTCCAAAAGCATTTCCAAGGAGTATGAAACCAAATGCAAGGGGCACACATTTCCTCCGCCGTGGCCTTGAGGAGCACACAGGAACGACAATCTGCTTTCCGGGTAATGTGGTTAGAACATGGCTAGCTGCACGGCGTGGTACCATGAGCTCATTACTGAACCCAAATAACAATGGGAACCCTTGTTACAAATACTGCACGCTCAGGCTCAGAATATCTCAATACGCCAGCGTCGACAAACTTTCTACCCCCTCCACCACTGAAAGGCCCGCGCTTGCGCATCCGCACGAGCCCCAGCACGGCGGTGTGTGTGTGCACGTGAACGCAATAAAGTCGGGGCAGCACAAGCCGGCGGGATAATAAGAACCAGGCGAGAGCAGATCGCAGCCCGCATCTCCACCGCGCAGTGCGTTGAGCGCTGTGAATAATGGACGTATTCACATGCTCGCTTTTACTGCCGTGCTGAATTTTAAATGTCAGGCGTGCCCACTGGTAGGCAGCCCCCCCTCCAACCCCCCCACGACCCGTGCCACGGCAGCGCTTCCGAGGTTGAGAACCCTTTAACGGCGAGGGCGGGCGGGCGGGGGAGGGCGGCGCAGAAGAATTCGGCGGCTGTCCCTTCATTAGCCCGACGCAGTCATGCAAATTTTACAGGAGTACGGAAATCTAATCAAGAGTTTGGCACGACCCAACCAGCACCACCACGCTGCCCATCACTGGGGAGGCTCATTGCTTGACGCTCTGAGAGACGGATGGGGCTACCTGGCCCAGGCCAACTACATTCTCGGTAATGGCTCCGCAGTGACAGGGGGGTAAATAGAGTGGGCACCTGGTAATGAACAGATAATGAGCAAGCCCTCCATCTTCTCCGGCGGTTATAACTTTTGCTTTAAAAGCACGCACGCCATGTGTACATGGATAAATTGATAACACGAGCAATTAAATAAATAAATGTGCCTATTACTCCGTCACACTTCAAACAGGCACGGTAGTTAATCACTTGAAGCAGGCAAAATGTGCAGTTATTGCCGAGCGAAAAAGATAAAAATACATAACTACGATGAATAAAGGAACTTGTGGTGGGATTTTCAGTGAAAGCACAAAAGCCAAGGCGGGTGGGCAAGCACGGTGGTAACAAAAAGCACCCCCCCCACCACAACATCAATAATAACAGGAACAGGGTGAGCCGAGAAGGATGGCATCATACCTCCCACTGAAGCACATTAGTTGCACACAAGAACATATAACCGCAGTCTTTAAAAAGGTATTGTAGTCATACGTTTTTGTCACCATCAAAATGGGCCTTCACATTCAGATGCACACAAACTATATTTTATCAAAGGGCAGCAGAATGTTCGTGTGTCCGTCTGTCCCCGCCCCCCCCCCCACCAATCTCCTTGTGTCTGTCTTCCTTATGTCTGTCTTACACTCTCAGAATATATTTATCTCTCCCGTGTCTCTCCGTCCCTGTTTCCGTCTCCCTCCATCCACAACTGTCTCTTCGTCCAACCCTTTGTATTCGTGTTCTCCCGTCTCATCTCTCGTTGTCCCGCTGTCTACGGGAAGTCACCTCTACCCTATTCTCTGCCCTATGCTCTGCCCTATTCTCTGCCCTATTCTCTGCCCTATTCTCTGCCCTATTTCTCTGCCCTATTCTCTGCCCTATTCTCTGCCCTATTCTCTGCCCTATTCTCTGCCTCGTCTCTGACCGTGTGCTCGTGGCGTGGCTTGTGGCAGTTGTCACCGCTCTCCCGTCTCGGACTTTGCACTCCTATCGTGTGTTTGTACTGTTTGTTGTTGTTGTAACGTTCCGACACTGTGAAAAAGAGCTTTATAGCTCATCGGATTCCTCCAGAATAAATAAACATTCTCATTCTGTCCCCTGCACTCTTCTCCTCCCTCGCCGCCGTACCTCCCACCCCACCCCCACCCCCCACAATGCAAATCTGCAGTGCTCACGTGATTAAGGCAGCCCAAAATATTCGGCTACACATGTTCAATTCTTCAATTCGGTTGAACAGGAATGCCATACTGACAGCCGTATTTGGCCGAATTGGAAGGCAAAGCAGATGTGCGGTGCACTAGCCCCAACTTAAAAGCATTTCTGCAGTATTTGAAGAAAATTTCTCCATTCAATTTTAAAGTACGTCATGGGTGCTTTTTATTCAATACCCCTCCCCCCCCTCTAACAGCGCATCTGGGAAACGATCTTCTCGTGACCACACTGAAAATTCATCAGGTTGAACTCTGACACTTTCCACGCAGCACACAGGCCTCTGCGGTCCTGTTAGCCAGTTGGAAGCAATTCCACACGGTTAACGTTGCAAGGCGCAACTTTTCGTGTGCCTCCACACCGAACCAAAGCATCGTACAAAATACTCGCTCTCAATCACAGGCTACGACCAAGTTTGGGAATTCATCTTGAAGAACAGTGACTCGTAAGCTGCAAGCACCGTGCAACGATCGCCGATTCCACTCCGCCCCACGCAAGGGAAACAACAACGCGCCGCTGGTCAAGCATCTCTCAAAGCTTTCTGCAAGCGCCCAAGTAGAAGGCGCATTGCTCAGCTCGGAAGCGAGCTCCCAGCAGCGGCGTCGGGCCGCCGGGAATTTTCTGCCAAGCCGCCGTTAGGTTGTGCCGGCTGCAAGGCCCCCCCGGAATAACACGGTTGGGTTCAGGCATCGCCTGCCGACATCGACTTTTAAGTAAGGGACATTTAGATGTTCCAAAATATGCACATCAATTGCGTTAAACAAATAATTCTCGAGGGAAATTAATTTAGAAATGTAATTCACCCACGTATTGGGTTGATTCATAATTAATACGATCACTTAAATCACCGAATTGGCATGTACGCACCTGTCTGACGTTACGATTCCTCGGGGAAAACGATCGATTAAACATTGATTTAATTTTGATCAAGGATTTCTCGTAGTTAAGCACTTGTTTCATGCCTCCCAATAGACTTTGTTGCCCCTGATTAACACTCGTCGTATAAAACGGCTTGATTTGTGTTCACCTTTCGTAGCACCAATGCAAGACGATGGCTTTAACCTCCAACCTAACACAAATTAAGCCGATGTAACGTTGAATCCTGCAAATATGAACTCACGGCCGAGTGTGAACGAACCCCAACTTCAAACAGCCGTGCAAGTAGCCTGTTAAAGTGCAGAATAAATAATGTAATTTTTTCATAATATTTACAAATGACATGGTGCATGCCTCTAATCGACAGTGAAAGCATTTCAATAAATTTGGCTAACACTTTAAAGCCATGAAAGCTTGTAGGAGGAAGCTTGCATTATAGACAAATGCCCAATGTAAGTGGATAGAAGTTGACAACTATGCACGTCATATTTGCCCGACTTCATTTAACAACATTTTAAGTAAGATGTTATACTATGACATTCTGTACATATTTAATACAAAAAATAATATTGATGTATTTCTTTAAGATACGAAAAAAAACGAATTCACCTAATAGATTTGTGGGTGCAAACTGGGTGACTAGTCAAGTATACAGTCCTTTATCAGTCCGCTGCTGGATGAAGGCCTTCCCCACGATGCCATGATAGTTGTTGGACTGCGCGGATCAGCGCAAGGTGGTGAAGGGCTGGCTGCCGAGATACCACTCACGTGAGCCGTGGCTGGGAATTGAACGACACATCGATGCGATCATAGCGCCCTGTGCCGCCCACCGCACTGCTGCTCCACGTCGGCTATTCAAGGCGTGCTCGAAATGAATGCCTCCAAGAGACAGCAAGAGTTCAGAAATCAAACCACAACCCTCAACCTCTACATCATCAGAGTCTTGTGACATTGACAGAAAGCCCAGCCCCCAGGAAAAAAAAAATCTTGTTGATATGCAACTAGAATATTTTTTTGTTCTTTTTCTTTCTTCCCAAAACACAAAAGCCATGTTTGCCAAAGCAGGGATAAAACAACTTGGCTCCATGCCTACTTTGAAATCTTTGCCCAAGGCCCAAGCAGCAATTCACATTTTTATTGCCATCAACGATTATCAGGCTTGATGATGCGGTCGATAGGCCAGCAACAAAGACATCAGCGACTACCATCAAGGAGAGGCGAAAAACGTAGAAGGAAAGCAACCCAAACACAAGTGCTGGTACAACAGGGGTCCTCTTGCAGGGGAGACAAGCCGCGAGCAGGCATTAGCCACGGAGTGTACCACGCAGCCGCGGGCGTGTTCTCAACACCGCCTGCCCGGCCGCCCCCCAACCGAGCCGTCGCGGTTGCCCTTACCCCAGCACGATGAGCTCGCCATACTTGACGGGGTCCTTGCTGGACGGCGGAGGGGACGCGTCGGGGCTGGCCGGTGAGTAGACGAGGTGTGGCGGCTTGGCGATGCTGTTGGCTTTCTTCGCCACGTTCGGCTCAACCAAAACCGGTTCCTCTCGGACCTCCGAGACCGTCCTACGGAGGAGCACAGAAAAAAAGCAAAAAACCAGGGGGACGTGGTGAGAAAAGGACACTGCTGAGCTTTCTTTCTTTTACTAAAGAATAGGGTACAGACATTTCCACAGAGGATTGTAAGGCACAGCGGACACAAGAAACAGTCAGCTGTATAGGAGAACATTATATATTAATTTAGAGAATATGGTACGTCATGTTCGAGTTTGTTAAAAATATTCATTAGGCGTTACATTTTTTTATGTACTTTAAATATTGTGTTTAAAATTAGTTGATGAAACCCATGTTGCCCTTGCAAATGAGGCAATGTCTCAATGGGTCTATTTAATCTCCTGGTCAAAAAAAGACAACCGACTAATTTTGCATGAACTGCAGAGTACACACGTGTGCAGAAAAACCATGCTTGTTTTAACTCAATACTGTCCTCACTGCAAATGGCCATACTGTACAATAATGACTGCCTGGTTTATCGATTTCACGGCACCTGTAATCTACGTAAAAATATATAAAGGATAAAAACCTCATGTTTTCATCTTCTAAGTCCATTGTCTACTTCAGAGAAAGAAAGAAATAATGTCACGTTCGTGTTCAATTTCTGCTTCCCTTGGCTAGGAAATTATTATTCACCAGTGTTCTGGAAATGCACAGATAATGCACCGCTACGGCACTTAAAAGCAAATTAAAATAAATTAAGGCAGGCTCTTGTCCTACACCATGCAGCAAAATGGCCTAAGTTTCTCTTTTCATTGTGTCGCTGCATCAGCTCACATTGGTTATCCTGGGTAAGGTCGCCTCGTGGTACAACTTAACACAGCCACCAAGGTGATCTTGGAGTTGGAATGGGAGCCAGTGAGGCCACTGGAGTATTGGGGTGCAGGTAAGAAGTCTGGCAGTGATCATTAGGATCCTCTGGAGTTTGGAGATGAGAGATTGAAGAGGCCGAAGCATAGAGGAGAGAGTTTCAGCAGTCGAGTCGGGATGAAGCAACGCGGATAAGGGTCTCAGCAGCTGCTGGGATTAGGCAGTGGCGGACAAGGTCCTGTAGAGTTGAGATATCACCCCACTCGACGAGGTCCCGTAGAGTTGAGATAAGGTGGTGAAACCATGCCTCCTTGGAGACATTAAGTTCCGTGGAAGGGGAACAGAAACACCAAGATATAAATGCCGGTATTTCTTACAAACACTCTTTGGTTCTTTCGGTAAAGTCACGTAGGTATAAGATTAAATAAATCACGACGTTTCGGGCGCAACACAAGCATCCGTCATCAGGTGGGAAAGCATGATCTGCTGCGGAGGCAGCAGATCATGGATTCCTGCAGTCACGAAAGCTTCAAATAAAAATTTTCTTACAAATGTTAAGGAAATGAAGGAGGGGGGTGGGGAAGCCCCAGCACACGATGAACACTGCTTTAGCCTCTGGCTGAGAAATGCAGACGGCCAAGATTAAATGCAATTTACACGACGAGCCGTCCTGCTCAAACCTTTGAAGTCAAAGTTTGGGTGCCGTAGTAAAGTGCCGGTGGGCTGGACACCTTCCTCGCTGCCAACTTTGAAATGTACTCTATTTGGAAATCTCACTCGGAAGTTCCACCCCCCCCGCCCCGCCCCCCCATGTCTGGTGCTGCTGGCACGCGGTACGGTTGCTGCGTCAACCAACGCCGGAACGCCGCCTGCCCGTCCTCGTCGCGGTGCTTCCTGCTGCAGGAAGTGAAGGCCGTCTGCCAGGCCCATCACAGCCGGCCACACGCACGCGGCTCATAACCAGGGGTCGGCACGCGTTATCAACGGTTTCCTATTCTGCAGAAAAGCCCATAAACTATTTCTGTCTTATCATGCCCCTAATATTTAATTCTTCCCCAAAAATAAATATTAAAAAGATCACGTTTTAAGAAGCCCACGTTTAATTTCAAATGGATCCTTGTCGATATGACAGTCTAACGTATAAACGCTGCCTACGACAGCATCAATTGTCAACAACAACGACATTTAATTAGGTTTCCTCTGCCAAAAAAGAAGTGACTGACCTTTTAACCCAGTGTGTTTTTCCAACCTAGCTATTTATGAGGATGGACTGTCTTTTTTTTAATCTCCCAAACCCCTGACCACCACTATGATGAAGGGGGGGAAAACCATAGCAGTCAATATTGCCATAATTAAGGATAGGCGGTCAAAAGGTTTCACAAAACAATTATAACAAAAGTATCATACAAAATATAATGTTCATACCTTTTCTGGCATCCCATCTTTAATAAAATCACCGTAAAAATAAGCACGCTGATGCTCGGCAATATCTTATTAAAATAGTGTGCGATGGTGCACACTATTTTAATATCCTGGAGCGACAAAAAAGCTTTGAACATCGCCCATATCATCACGCACATTGCCACATACGATCGGTATTGCTACCAGCAGCTACGGCACAAATGATAATAATCACCACCATCACTGCTGACCCAGCAGATAAATACTGATTTAACTCAAGACTCAATCCTAATAGTTGCACAACCAGCTCGCCCAGCGTACACAGGCAGACCAACCTGTGCACTGTATGCGGTTGGCAATGGCCATCGATTGCTGGTGAAGAAGTGCCCAACTTGGTTTACTGTGCAAGCAGACTTGGACGAGCATCGCCAATTTTGTGCGGATAATTATTCTAAAAATGACCCTGCTATCACCAACAGAGCCAGAAGTTATATACATGGCACTGGCCAAACTTGGGCGTTTACAAAACCACGAGTAAAAAAAAACAAGGTTACAATGGTTGGTCAATGGGCCTGTCGAGTCAAACACATTCTCCAAGCGAACGCAGCGGTGGGAGCAACTGATTTTCACTTAGAGAGCAGCAATGAGACAGAGGCACAGGTAGCGCCCGAGCCTAATACCCGTATAGGAAAAATCATCAGCAGCATTTAATGAACAAGCCAATAAATGGCAGGACAAGAAATCAGTATTCAGCCTGAGATAAGAATATTTAATCTGGTGGCTAGGTCAATAGCAGAACGTGGTGCAGGAGGCCCACACGATGGGTAAGAATAAAGCACAAAACCAAGACGTCTTTCTCAGGGGCTCGATGGTTATGGGTTTCTTAAAACTGAATGGCAGGGTCGTGCATCAAACAACGGGCGCTATGAAAAGGTCGCAGCAGAGACCTTTTAGCGTAATAGTTCAAAACGACGACTCCTTTTGGCTTTGTCGTGTCTCCAGAATGTCAAAAAGAACAATCCGCCCGTGGTCGTGTTAAGCCACAAAGCCACAGGGAAGCGGCCAAACACGGTGAAGGCAGAAGAACAGAGAACTCGTGAGAAGCTTGTTAGAATTGATGTCAGGGGAAACCACATTCGATTCGGAAGAGACCAAGAACAACAAGTCCTCACGCATGGACAACTGGCGGACTTTCCCGAGACTGTTTGGACACATCGCTCATCATAAAACCACCATGCTGCTGCTGCCAGAAATTGTACGAGTGCGTTTTGTACTTCCATGTCTTATATCCGTGGCTCTTTTCCCCTATGTGGTTATTTTTGTTGTTGTTGTTGCTGCGCTTTTGAGTCGCGGCAGCCGTTGGGAGCTTTGCGTTCCACTTTTTATGGCTACAATTTTTTCCGCGACACGGGGGGGGGGGGGGGGGACACACAAGCAAACGGTAACACCGCGAACATAATGCATCCACCACATATCTCGTGGAGGGATAAAAAAAACAGTTTTCAGCATATCACCATAAGCCTGCAGCAACAGCTGCAATTGGTTGCACGTTCTTTTTTTTACGCAGAAAAGGCAACGCACGAAACACATACAGTGTGCGTGTGTAGGTGTGTGTTATTGTACTCTAATACAAAGAAGACACGAGAAGTTACCATATACAATGCAGTCCTCCGTAACAGCAGCACATTCATTCCCGCACGAGTACATTAAGGAGCTTAAAAAATAAGCCTGGGGTCACACCGACTGCATGCCGCGAGATTGGAGTGAATTGTGTTGTATTCTTTCTTACCCACAAAACCATTTGGCCATCTCCCCTTTATATGTAATAATATGGTGACGCTTACAATTGCAGTTGTATGATGCGGTTGCTGTATTTGACACGAGGTCCTTGGAACATGGGAGCAATTAGACAAATACAGGGTACTTAAAACAAATGTAACACTTATTTTCGTTTTTAATGGAACGAATAACAAACTGTAACATGATAAAAAATAAAAATGTATGTTAGTAGCTTCAAAAAGTCAAAATTTAGTCTCTCCACTTGTTCGCCATCATCGTCAACACGTCTGGAATCTTCTCCAGGTGGTCTCCAGAGCCTGGAGGCACATTTCTCGTAGTATTATTGCAAATTTTCAGAAGTATAAAAAAAATGTTTGAAGGACCCTGTATTATGCCCCCCCCCCATCTATTCAAAGTCCGCATGGGCCCCCTTGGTTACTCAATACAATGGACCCTCGGATATTCAAGGATTGCCACGAGCTTCATTGTTGAACTGCATTTCGAAAAAGGACCACTTTTGCTCCACAGCCACAGCTAGGAGCCACGATTACGTGCGCAAGGACAAAATGGGAGCCCACTCGGCACAACAGCCCCGTTAGTGCTTCGAGAGCCGTGGGTCGCGCAATTTACACAAGTGCCATCGGCTTTGGGGGGGGTGTGGAACTCCTGGGCACTCCGCCTCCTGCCCCCGCTGCGTTCTCCATCACTTGAAAGAGGACAGACACTGTACGAGCCGAACACGAGACAGCGGCGATTACTTTAAACACTTCAACGTACAGTAAGTGTTTTGATGTTAAGGGGGGTTAGGGCGCTTAACAGCGCACGTGATTGCATCACCGGTTAAAGCCCAGTCCGTCCGTCACCATCTACTATGCCTTGGTTTGTTTATAAAAATGTGGTCTGTTAAATTATGGGACTAGGGTTCTCTTTGTTTGAAGTGACACGTCACGATCTATTTACATCCTTCTACCTTAAGATTTAGTGAAACGCGTATTTAATCGACATCTCCCAAGCAATCTCGC